TTACTGCTGAAAGTGCCTTTTCTCAGACCCAAATATGTCCGTTCCCAAATGACTCAAACCATCGACTCAAACACACCAGTCTAATTAATGCTTCCACTTTCAAACGAATTCTTGTTGTTTAAGTGACGGTGCCCTAATCCTATAGAGTGACTATAGACAGACATCAATGATAGCATCTTGTGGAATCGGCGCGTATACACTCAGGCCCATCACCGATGCGCATGAGTGCAACTTGATGTAGCATTGTTTCATGTGTGGACACTACACAGTACAAGTTACAAGGCTTAAATAGTGAAGTGGCTAGGGAATAGATTCGTCTTTTTTCCCATCATAATGCCTCGCTCGCCTTGACAATTTTCGAGTCGCATGTTCAAATGGCTTTTTTGCTCGATTTTAAGGCTCTATTTCAACGATTTGCGAACGTTTACTTAGACGAAAATATCAGCCAAATAGCTCTTGGAATGGCTACATATGCAAGGAAATGCCGGATAATTTTCTTGGGGGGACCCTCCCCCCCACTCCGAGGCCAGTGCCTTCCTTTTGTGGCGCCCCCCCCCTTTTCAAAATTCATAGATTCGCCCCTGCTCACCTCGGCGTGGGTTAAATCTATTTAAGGCCAGGTCAATTTTTGTCAAGGTCATGTAAACGAGGTTAGGGCACGTGAATGTTCGCGAGATTGTAGGTTAGGGTTAGGGTAAGCATTTGGGCTAGGTCCAGGGTTACGGTTAGGGTTGGGATTAGCTCTAGCCCTGTTTACATTTCGTGACCAATGACGAAAAATTGAGCTGGCCTTATCATTTAGCACTAACCCACGGCGTGGGAGTCGTATCTATCCGATCTTTCATTACAAGACAATAGTCTACAGCCAATACATGATCCGAGTTAGTAGAAATGAAATGAAATTAAATTGGTTTTAAGGATCCACTGTTCTGCCCCGACCGGGCTAACAAAGATCGGCATACGTCTTAGTGTGCTATGAGGGAAAGTTTGGCTACAGCCTACTCTTATAACAAATTCAAACTGCCAAGGGATTTTGTTTACGTGCTGTACATGGAACCGTGGGTTTTCTTACCATCCGAACGAATATACATTGCCCCTTGAGGGGATCACGTGGCTAAGTGGGTAAGACGCTGGCTCGCTAGCCTGGAGGTCGGGTGTTCGATCCCTGCATTGGCCGAGAAAGTTCATCCAGATTTTTCGGCGTGGTTCCCCCTTGTCAGTGATGCAGGACGGGTCTAGTCCTTCGGATGAGACGAAAAACCGAGGTCCCGTGTATACATTGGAATGCACGTAAAAGATCCATTGGCAGTTGGAATTCGATATAAGAGAAGGCGATAGTGCCGCTGCCCGGGCAAAATTTCCCCTCATAGCACACTGTATGGCGTATGCCCGTCTTCATTAGCCCAGTATATGAGCAGAACAGTAGGACGTTAAACCCCATTTCATTTCATTTCATTGCCCCTTGCCATATCCTCTGTCCTGCACCGCTGACAAGGTGGAAGCATGCCGGAAAAATCCAATTAACTTTCTGGGCCAACACCGGGATCGAACACGGCCCCCATCTAATTGAGCCAATGTCTTACTCACTGAGCCACCGCGACTCCTGTAATAATATTGATGGCGGGATTTGTGCAAAATGACACATATGTATAATAACATAACATAACATATTACATTTGATATAGCGCACATTACTGCCATGCATTCAATGGCGCTTCACAAAGTCTTACACAAACGTTAAAGAAATGCTTTACGAAAGAGACGATAAACCTGGCTGCCACACTCAAAGCGCCATATTGAAAAGAAAAAATAAAAAAAATTATGACCTTGACTAATTATTGTTTACAGATTCAGAGTCAAACAAAACAGCACGTGAAACAACGGAAATCTGTGATAATATGATACATAATTATTATTTATCTGTCTTCTCCATCGTCAAATTTTTAGCTATGATATGAGTTTATTTGAAAATGCAAATTAAATTGTTTATAAAATATTGTGAGAATAACAGGAAAAGCGGCCCAAGGCCAAGGATCAATTCTATGGTTTAAAAACACGTGATAGAAAAAATGTCATTATACCACTAGGCTTAGTAACCAATCATTATAATTAATTCACCAATTAGATAATTGAAAGCCGAAACCCGGGGTAGAAACCCACCAGAGCCGTGAGCGATTATCGGACACCATGTAGATTTTGAGAAAACAAAAACTATGTAGGCTCGTTGCAAGAGACTGTTGAGGTTAAAGAGACACCGTCTAGATTCAGAATGCCCCGTTAAGTCGTAGGAGAGCCATTTGATGCAGTGGGATCCGTCAGTAAACACGTTCTACGAAATGGTGGGGTTGAGAGAGTAGAGAATGACTTTATTTTAATCTATGCTTGTAACCTTTGTATCCAGTGCGTGACATAAAATGTAGAAACGAACTGTGGTATTGTTATTCCTGTGTGTAACCATAAACTAAATACGTGGGAGAATAATACAAAACGTTTAAAGTGGAGTCCCAAAAGAAAGAATTCAAAATATAACCAGAGACAATACAAGACGATCACAAGGCTAATACAATATGTAGCCGAGGAGAGAGTTTACGTCACACGTCGGATGTGGCATATTCCCGTAGCAATGGCCCGAGAAATACCTTTCTGGCCATTGCTGGATTGACTTCTGATACTCGAGCCTCGGGGGGAATGTGTCTATTCTTCCCGGTCGAACGAGATTTTTTCTTATTTGCCAAGGCTGATCACCATTGTCGGTGGGCCTGTTTATAGGATATCCTTTATAGGCCTATTAGTATCGGCTATAGCTATTAAACCTTGAACCCCATCTTTGCTTAAATGCATTAGATAAAATTACGACGACCTTGAAATACAAATTTTAGCTTATCTGAATAGAAAGATAAAACTCTTCACATATTAAGTTTACTACAAGCGATTTCGCCAGTCAAAGAAGACTACCATGGCTTTTGTGGCTAAAATTACAATTTGTGTCTTGTTATTGTTTGCTTTATGCGGTCAATGTTTTATGAAAGTTGTGGTTAATGTACAAAAACTGAATGTAGCGCAGCATATCGGACCAAAATATGTCGGTGTCACCATTGACTCTGGCGCAATAAAAGAAAATTGGGCTACCATAGATTTCAAGTAAGTAATAAGATCTAACTGAAGATATAGTTTTTATAGAAGTAAGATCACAGCTTTACATCACAGCGCATATAAAGTGGACAAACTCTTTCAATATTCAACTGTGACTAAGTGAGCGAGTTGATAAAATTGTTGGTCTAAATCCGATTCAGGGGCAAATCACGCGCCTTAAGACAATTCTTTATCATTTGGCCTACTTATAATACTCAGTACTAATAAAGAATCGTCTTAAAACTTATGGGGGGTTGGATGGCTGAATGGTTAGCACGTTGTATCATAAGGTCTGTCATTGAGTCAGCTGGCGTGGTTTCGATTACCCGGTTGAACTGTTGTAGGCTGCGTGACAAGGAGTAGGGTCGCCTGTCCAACCCCGTGGGTTTTCTCCGGGTCCTCCGGTTTCCTCCCACTGCAAAAGACCCCTACGCGCAAGCGAATTATTGAAATAAAATTAACCATATGTTAGTCCCGAAATGACCCAGTTTGTGTCGAGTGGACGTCAAACCCAATTTCTCTCTTAAGACTTATAATACTAAGTAGGCCTACTGATGAAGAATCGTCTTAAGACGAGTTATTTTCCCCTGAATTGGAATCAGACCAACAATTTTATAATCTCACTCGCTTAGTCCCAGTTTGATATTGAAAAATTTTCCACATTACAGGCGCCTATGCTTTACATATGCCATTATATCTAGAGCCGGTACCAGAGTATATTGCGCCTTGGACAATAAGGCCAACCCCTTGCTCAGATGTGAATGAAAACCACAAAAGATGTAACTGTTGAATTTATTTATTTTAAATTGCTAGAAGAAAAAAAATAACCCTCTCTTATTATTTGTCTCATAAATAAAATAAATTGGAAGTCTCGATGGCTCAGTCTCCAACATTTTTCCAGTAAATTATCATTTCATTTCATTTTCATTAAATTTAGATCTCCCAAATTTCTGACGTTGGCAAAAGGATTGGCGCCAAATTTTTTGCGTGTTGGTGGAACAGAATGTGATTTTTTGATATTTAACGAGACGACCACCACAATGGATGGGAGTACAGATAAAGCACCACGCCCAAATTTTACTATGACAGGTAAACTACTTTCACTTTAGTCTGTAAAGAAAATAAACTTTATTTATTAGATCATCGCATGTCTAAAGCACTGGTCCATCCTACCTTTAATAATAATCAAATAATAAATAACTGTACGATGGTCGAATGGTTAGCGCGTACGCGTCGTGTCATAAGGTCTGTCACTGAGTGAACTGACGTGGTTTCGATTCCCCGGTTGTACGTGATAAGAAGCAGGGTCTCCTGTCTAGCCTTGTGGGTTTTCTCCGGGTCCTCCGGTTTCCACCCAGCGAATTATTAAAATAAAATTGAACCATAATGTTATTCCCGAAATGACCTAGGTTGTGTCGGTTGGAGTCAACCCCGTGCTCCCACTATCTCTCTCTCTCTCTCTCTTTGGTCAATGAACCTATCATGACGTCATCGCAGCCATCCTGAAATTATGACGGCATAGGCCCATCAAAAATCAAAGCCCACCAATGGACGCACAATTGTCCAAGGAACCCACATGCCAAATGTCATGTAGATCCTACATGTATTTCCGAAGCTCTAGGCTTTCTTATGAGGTGAATCGCCCCAAGAGCATCAGCAAAAAAAGCAAGATAAGTATAAAGCGCTTGATGAGTAGATCCTCGTCCAAAAATAAAACCAAACATATATCCTTGTCAGTGTTTTAAAAATTGCATCTAATAGACTTTTATTTTCTATGAACAAATCCGCATCTTCTGTACACAAATTTTAACACATTTTGAACATGCTCTAGAATTTTTTTTCCTTTGCAGTTACTCAATGGGATCAATTAAACAATTTTGTGTCAGAAGTTGGCTGGGATTTAATATTTGACCTGAATGTTTTTCTGCGTAAAGATGGACATTGGGATCCAACTAACGCCATAGAACTGTTAAAATATACGATAGAAAAGGGTTACAGGCTAGCCGGTTATGAACTTGGAAATGGTAATCTTTTATATAGTATCTTTGAGAACTGTTCTTAACATATATTTTCCTATTTGGAAGGTGGGGGGGGGGGGTGGTTAGCACGATGGTCGAATGGTTAGCGCGTACGCGTTGTATCATAAGGTATGTCATTGAGTCAACTGGCGTGGTTTCTAATCCCCGGTTGTACGTGACAAGGAGTATGGTCGCCTGCCAACTCCGTGGGTTTTCTCCGGGTTCTCCGATTTCCCCCCAATGCTAAACACCCCTACGCGCAAGCGAATTATTGAAATAAAATTGAACCATATGTTAGTCCCGAAATGACCTAGTTTGTGTCGAGTGGACTTTAAAAACCATTTAAAGAGGTCCTGTTCAAAACGGAAAGTAGTCATTATCCCGTTGATACTCCCAATCCCAAGAATAGTGACAATCGGGCTACAACGCATGCGTTGACTGAATCTGTAAAGGGCTCAACCAGCCATGACAACGGAAATATTGGCGATTTTACTTCACTACGTCAGTTATCGGGGGTGATAGAACTGTGCCAGGGCCGGATTTAAGTTTGCTAATTCGGGATATATATTCCGGACTAGCACATTCCTATAAAGAATTGCTTAAAGATTTGTACTTCTCTCTTGCCAAAAGGGACAATGTCATTACTAGATATGTTCGATCTTCGGGTCTTGAAATTGATAATTTGTAATTTGCAGTATCATTTATTATACACGTCAACATATGATCTGATTATCGATCACTGTATCCATTCATGGTAATTCATTTCAGAACTGGATGTTTTCCCTGACTCTCCTATTAATGCGACAGAAGTGGCCCCAGATTTTGCACAACTGAAGAAGCTCCTGTTATCTATGCCTGAACTCGCGCCTTTCTTTATTCTGGGAACTGATGTAGGCTCAGTAGGCAGTGGGTCAATAACTTTTATGACTGAGTAAGTAGAAGGCCTTTATTCTTTAAGGCCTTTAAAACTGAATAACATACCACCTTGTCAGTGTACATCGTTTGGAGGCAGACCACCAATTACTTTTCGATATTCGGTAACATTTTGAACTCCGAAACCCGCTACCCATCACACTGATCAGCAGTGAATAATTGCTAGGCTGCCGCATTAACTCTGTGAAATAACACGTGCTTGGGGCATCAAGGAAAAGGTGGAAATGATGCAGCGGAAGAACAACATAAATGACATTTATTTTACAGTTTGGCATCGTTTTTATTTTGAATAAGATATTGTTATATGGGTGTACCATAATTTTGTCAGTGCTTAGGGTCTGTAAAGGTATTATTCCAGCCTTGCTTCATAGAAACACCAGACATTGACTAAGTATATCGGATAATTACTAGTTTACTGGTCTGTTTCTTCAAATTTCCGTATCTCAAAATTTTTATGGTCGAACTCATACAAGCGTGAGCAGGACAGTGTCAGCCAGTGTCCATACAAGCTTTAGAGCAGGACAATCATAGACATGCCCCGTTTGTGGCTGACAGGGTTCAGATCAACGAAGAAGTTAGAGCAGGAAAAACTTACAAACATAAATCAACAATAAAGTCAATATGAAAAAATTTAGTGGTCTGCTTCCATTTCCTAAAGTACTTCTGTATTTAATGCATTAAAACAAAAACATTTTTGTAAAGGGCTATAATGTTAGTTAAATGTTCTTAACTTAAGTCTGAGAATGCTTTGTGAACACGATGTCAGAGTTTTCCTTGTGACTGTAAATGGATTCCCATTGACGACTAATTTTATCTTAAAGAATTTTCAATATTTTTTTCTTCTAAAGCGGTTGTTTGAGGCCCGGAGGCGCTTCTATTTATATAGCCACGTGTTTAAGGACGGTCGGAGAGCTGGAGACCCCTGGGCCTGTCCCCCAGCTTATGGGTTCTCTCCACCGGGCACAAGGCAATATTTGACTGTAAATAGTGCTTTCTAGATTATATCAGTACAAAACAGATTTCCTCTCTGCCCATCCCTGCTTTAGTGCCGCTGTCTGGGCAAAAGTCCCTCATAGCACATTGTATGGCATATGCCCGTCTTCGCGAGCTCTGTGGATGCAGAACTGGGGGACGTTAAACCCCATTTTATTGCATTCCAAAGAATAAATTATTGCCCCCCCCCCCCCCATAAAGGAATCCCATTGACGATTCGTCTAATCTTAAAGAATGTTCAATTTTTGTCTTCTAAAAGGTTTTTTGAGGCTGGAGGAGGCGCGTCTATCGATGTAGCCACGTTTCACCAGTAAGTATATTGATTATTTTTCACTTCCATATTTTGAAACCCACATTAGCTGATTTACAATAGTTTGAATGACCTACAGATCTAACTCGTAAAATAATAAAAATATCTGTTTGAGTCTAACAGATTATTTTTGGTCTTGAGCTCTTTCGGAGATTCATGCTGGCTTAATCCAGATCAATATGCTTTTATTTATAATGGATGTTTTCACTATTGCCTTCACTGAGATTCCCATATCGATAGCAAGCTGTATATAATTACCATGGTGATCTGTGAGTCTGTTACGGAAATTGTACATGTTGGATGTCGGAGAGAGAGAGAGAGAGAGAGAGAGAGAGGGTTAAGTCCACCCGACACAAACTTGGTAATTTCGGGACTAACATATGGTTCAATTTTATTTCTATAACTCTCTGGCGTTGGACAGGCGACCCTACTCCTTATCACGTACAGCCGGGGATTCGAAACCACGCCAGTTGAGTCAATGACAGACCTTATGATACAACGCGTACGCGTTAGCCATTCGGCCACCCAACACCCCTGTCGGAAAAGAATAGAGGAGATCGCCATCTTTCCGAGCAAACTATTCACCCCTCGTATTACCAGATTAATGTGAAAATGAGTCGCTTTATAAAGGTCATCAGACAAAAATGTCGGTTAAATGAAATGAAATGGGGTTTAATGCCCCACTACTGTTTTGCTCCGACTATGCTAATGTTTTGCCCGGGCAGCGGCACTATGGCATACTCTTATATCTACTCCAACTGCCAGGGGATCTTTTACGAGCACGCCAATGTATACACGGCCAATGAACTTTCGAGGTAAGCAGGGATCGAACACGCGACCGCCAGGCTAGCGAGCCAGCGTCTTACCCACTTACTAACTTAGACACTGTGACTCCCTAACAGTCCATTAAAGGAGATATCAGGTTAAATAAAATATCCATGTCTTGATATCAAAATGACCCAAATAAAAAGTCGCTGGATGCAGAGAGAGAAATGGGGTTTAACGTCCACTCGACACAAACTAGGTCATTTCGGGACTAACATATGGTTTAACTTTATTTACATAATTCGCTTGCGCGTAGGGGTCTTTGAGCAGTGGGAGGAAACCGGAGGCCCCGGAGAAAACCCACGGGGTTGGACAGGCGACCCTACTCCTTGCCACGTACAACCGGGGATTTATGATACAGCGCGCGCACGCTAACCATTCTGCCATCCAACCCCCCTCGCTGGATGCAACAAAGTGGGCTAAATCTGTCAAGGTTAATAGAAATTGCCTTCTTCACAAATTCCAAGCATGATTTTGTTAATTAATTTTTCTTCTTCAGTTATTATATGAGTAGTGCAAGCGCCACGGTAGAGAAATTTCATACTGCGAAGGTGCTGGACTCATTACGACTGCATTTGATCAATGTTACCAACCTATGTAAAAGATTTATACCCACAAAACAAATCTGGTTGGGTGAAACGTCATCATCATATGGTGGAGGTGCTCATGAAATATCAGATAGATATGTAGCTAGTTTTCTGTAAGTATATCATGATACCAAATTATACAGGGGAAAACGAATAAGCACGAGTAGTTATAAGTCCACTCAAGACGATTTATGGAAAAGAGTTATCCCCCAATAGCAGAAATGGAAACATTAGGACAGCATATATTACTATAAACATAAAATTACATATCATTTGGTCAATGCAATGTATATTATTTTAAAATTGCGGCGGCAAAATGTACCTTGTTTAGAATGCGACACGCAACTCCAGTCAAGAATCGAAGACAAGAGCGTAAGTTTGGAAGGGCGGACATTTTATTTCATCATTTCCCCGTTGGTAGCGGTGCAACATGTAGTGTCTGGCAAGGGAAAACATCAAATGGTTTGCATGGAACTCAAAACCGAGAGCGTGCACGTGGAATGACTTTTGGTTGACTGAGATAATAAGTACATGTAGAAGGAAACGCCGTTGCCATGGGAAAATTTTCGTCATGGCACACGGCATTAGCCCGACTGGAGCAGAAAAGCAGGATCTTATAGCCCCATTTCATTTACACCGTTCAAGTCTGATATTGAAAAGTTCAGTCTATACATTTCTTAATGGTTCCTGCTTTGTATTACTTTAAGGTGGTTAGATAAACTCGGCCTGTCATCAGTATTGGGAATCCAAGGTGTACTACGTCAGACTTTTTATGGTGGAAATTACGGTTTAATAGATATAAATCTCGATCCAAATCCAGTAAGTCTTGTGCTTCTTCCATTTTATAGGCCCATGTCCGCCAGTGACCAAATCTATTTGTTTAGGCCAGCTTAATTTTTGTCAAGGTCGCCGCTGAGATGTAAATAAGGTTAGGGCACGTGATTGTTGGCGAGATTCCTTCTTCCATTTTATAAGCCCAGCTATATATCTAGGCGTCCACAGTTCTTGTTTGATTGTGTAATCTCTATTACTGTCTACACTCTCATCAAATATGGAAACTTTCAGTTTAATTACTTTATTCTGAGTGAAGTTATTAGTTTCTAGTTTGATAAGAATGTAGTCTCGATTTTCATTGCTACCATTGTAACGATGATAAATTAAATTATTAAATAGCGATCCATTAAAATCGCGACCATCAGATGTTCTAGAGAGTCGGATATGGGCTCTACATGTGAATAAATGTCTAATTAATAATTTATATAACATTTGCGGTTGTACGTGTCAAGGAGTAATGTCACCTGTCCAACCTCGTGGGTTTTCTCTGGGTCCTCCGGTTTCCTCCCACTGCTAAAGACCCCTACGCGAAAGCGAATTATTGAAATAAAAAATTAAACCATATGTTAGTCCCGAAATGACATTGTTTGTGTCGAGTGAACGTTAAACCCCATTTGTCTATCTCTTTATATAACGTTTGAGGCCAAAACAAAGACGAATAAGCTTTTACATAATGCATCTTTAATTTGTAATCAGGATTACTGGTTAACAGTATTGTTTAAAAGACTGGTAGCAAGTCCTGTTTTCACAGTTCCACAACCTTCAAATCTAGATTTAAGAATATACGCCCACTGCACCAATACTAACAGGTAATCTCTCGTACATATATTTTAAAATGAATGTCGGATTGATGATCAAGCGGGGGGGGGGGGGCGAATGGTTAGCGTGTGCGCGCTGTATCATAAGGTCTGTTATTAAGTCAACTGGCGTGGTTTCGATTCCCCGGTTGTACGTCACGAGGAGTAGATTCGCCTGTCCCACCTCGTGGACCCCGGTTTCCTTCCACTGCTAAAGACCCCTACGCGCAAGCGAATTATTGAAATTAAATTGAACCATATGTTAGTCCCGAATGACCGAGTTTGTGCAAGGGGACGTTACCCCCCAACTCCCCCCTCCCCTCTCTCTCTCTCTCTCTCTCTCTCTCTCTCTCTTTCTACCCTAACACCCTCTCTTCACATTATTATCCGATTTCCCCCCGGGTGCCATGAATAATCAATCGTATTGCTGGCCGTAAGACAAAATATTTGAACCTACTATTCAGCCGATATGGGGAAGAAATAAGTGCGTGTTTTGTCTGGGACGGAGCGACACAATATAGGAGTCTTATAGTCTGAAACTAACCATGATCTTGACACGACATGATGAATTATTAATCCATCTGATATGGAACCAACTATGGCAACTTATACACCAGATACTCAGTGCGGGGGAGGGGTGTGGGTGTGGCGGGGGGTGGGGCATCTAATGGGCACAAAACCAAACCCATCTTTTCTATAGTAAAATTTTGCGTAGAATACGTTGTCGAATGGTAATCAGTCCGCCGTTGAGGCGTTTTCCAGATATTCGGGGTCAAAGGTCAAATGAGGTCATGAAAACATGCTGAAAATGATCGAAAGTAATCAACTTTTTCAATCAAAATGTAACATTGCTAAATTCACCTTTATTCTTTGTGACCTCATTTGACCTTTGACCCAGGGGATCACTTGGCTAAGTGGGTAAGACGCTGGCTCGCTAGCCTGGAGGTCGGGTGTTCGATCCCTGCATTGGCCGAGTAAGTTCATCCAGATTTTCCGGCGTGGTTCCCCTTGTCAGTGATGCAGGACGGAGGGCCTGACAAGGACAGCTGTCTAGTCCTTTGGATGAGACGAAAAACCGAGGTCCCGTGTATACATTCGAATGCACGTAAAAGATCCCTTGGCGGTTGGAATTCGATATAAGAGTAGGCGATAGTGCCGCTGCCCGGGCAAAATTTCCCTCATAGCACACTGTATGGCGTATGCCCGTCTTCATTAGCCCAGTTTAGGAGCAGAACAGTAGGACGTTAAACCCCATTTCATTTCATTTCATTTGACCTTTGACCCTGAATATCTCGAAAACGCCCCGACGGCGGAATGATTACCACTCGGCATTGTATTCGACGCAAAAAAATACTGCAGAAAAGTTGGGTCTGCCCCAACCCCTTCCCCCGCACTGCGCCTCCACACTATTATTGACACAACGACAAAATCTGGCCATTATCTGCTGTTAAAAGGACAGAAACTAAAAACATTAAATCTATTTTCCAGCTCAATGGGCTACACAAAAGGTAGTGTAACGTTATATCTGATGAATCTAGGTAACATGACTGTACCTGTAGATGTACCTGATATGGTGAATAAAACACAACATATCTATATGTTTTCACCTGGTGATGACAGTGGACTCACATCAAGGTAAGTCTTCAATTTGGTCGATGGATTTGATAGTAAAAAGTGTTAGATATAATGTATTTACAATAAACTTCTGTCATATCAACAGAATGTAGGTATAATTTAACACTATTACTAATTTGTATACCAGGGGCCGGTTGCTCAAAACTAAGATATTTTAATGATCCTATAGAAAATGGGATAGCTCCCCCCCCCCATCGCTTAAACCCTCTAGAATGTTCTATAGAAAATTACACTGGCAATCTATGGCTTTTTGATATACTTCGACTGATAGCTGCCTCTGTGCCGGATTAAGGCTCTGCTGGCCCTAAGGCACAATTTGATACGTGACCTGAAAATACAGATATGTTGGGCTCATGTAAACAAACCTCATGTCAACCCTTTGCCAGAGTATGGAAAGCTTTTAAGGACAAACGCGTAGATGAAGAAGGGTGCAATTTATATACATAAAAATAAAGGCAAGCATTTTTGTCACCACCTGATAATTATCAAAAAAGATTTACTTTATTATTTTGTGGCCTGGATTTTGGCTGGCCCTAAGGCACGTGCCTTTCTTGCCTTATGGTTAATCCAGCACTGAGCTGACTAATGCCATTGTTAAACAGATAACGGGGCCCAACACCTCCGTTAAATATAAAGGCAAGTTAACGTTATGGTAACAGACTTTCTGTCCGTTAAAAATAACGATCTATTAACTCCATGTTAACGAGTCGTTAAGATTTAACGGAGTTTTGAGCAGCCGGGCCCAGATTGTTATGTTAGGATTTGAAGTGCACGAGAGAAGTTAGTCTCGATTCTAATATCTTTATAATTTCTTTTGTATATTCCACTTGATCAGAATTCCTGGCCTGTATAATAGAACTTGAATACTATCGAGAACGCCCACTGAGTAACGGTGATGACACGGTATTCTTGTTCTATGCCTAGACGGAAAGAACCTCTGTAATATCTGTTTCACGACTTTATTCACTTTTAGTCTGAAACTCGGGCCCGTAACTTAGCGGGTGGGGGGGGGCGCAGGAGGTTGGCGAAGCCCCCCCCCACCCCCGCAAAAAAAAATTGTTGACCATAAAATAAGCAGATAAACATTGTCCGTCAATTTTACAGCACCCCTGAAAACACTTCCCGCCACATCCCCACCCCCACCTCGTATCTCTGAGCTAGTTACGGTCCTGCTAAAACACGTGTCCATTCTGCAGAATAGAATTATGAAATATGAATTAAATCTTCTTATTGTTTCAGATCAATAAAACTGAATGGAGTTGTTCTAGCTCTGGCAAATGAGAATGAGTTACCTCCCCTGGAACCTGTCATCGGTCAAGGCAACATTCAAGTGGATGCCTATAACATGGGGTATATTGTTTTCCCTGGTGCTATGAGACCCGAATGTGTTTAATGAATTAAATGATGGTAGCAGTTTAACTGAAAAGCGTGCAAAGAAAGAAGCTATGCCTCTTTCCTTTTGGAACCTAAAAGTGACGAAAATGAGTCAAACGGCACATATGATATAAACTGTATATACATTCATTTTTTAAAAAAAAAATTATTGCAATTTCATGTTCATCGAAATAGGTCAGCAGTTCAAATTAAATGGCAGTCGCTCGCGTCTAGTTAATCAATTCTAAATCGGGAGTTCACTTACGCACTGAGGTTTTGCCTCGTTGTAGAAAGCACCTCATTACAAATTGCGCTCGAGAACATAGACTACACGACGTCGCCGATTGATTTTAAAATTGTTCATTGTGTCTTAAATATTGGATATCAGAAGCCCATTACAACACCAATATTGATTGAAATAAGACCAATAATTCGTGTTTGTAATTTCGAAGACTCGAGTTGTGGATAATATTGAGTTCGAGCTTGACGCCCTTTAAATCTGTTCTCATAGCCTTAATTTTTGTTCTCGTAAATATTAAAGATATGTTATGGAAGATTAGACAAAGAGCTGGCAGTTCTCGCTATAATAGTTAAAAACTAGATAACGTAAAGGGAATTTGCTGAAATTCATCATTTCTAAAGTCGGTAGGATATAAACATTGTCTGGATTATCCATTTCATGATTTAATTATGAATAGAAGTCGAACAGCAAATGGGAACCTAATCCAATAAACATCACAGGCTAGGGATGCCACCGAGAGTTGATTATGGTCCGGATAAGTTAATTAATGTCTAATTAATAATTTAGATAACATTTCAGGCCTAAAGAAAAACCTGCAATTGGCAGATTTAGCTCTTGCGTAATGTATGTTTAAATATTGATTTTGGCAAAAACAATTATAGTCCCGCAAAACTTGAAACAAGACTTCTTCAACACACACTTGACCATTTTAATGACATTTATTTGTTTACACATTAAGATCATGTAGCTTAAAAAAATTCTTCTAATATTGTGTTTAGTGATAAACATGCGTCCGCATTTTTTTTTTTTAATTTTGTTATAATTTAATTATTTTGGTGATGCTAAAATAAAAATATTTTAAAAATTTATTTGTTTTTATTTTAAAGCCATTATGACCAGATGTGTGTGTGTGTGTGTGTGTGGGGGGGGGGGGGGGCTGGATGGTCAGTGTTTGCGCGTTGTATTATAAGGTCTGTCATTGAGTCAACTGGCGTGGTTTCAATTCCCCGGTTGTACGTGACGGGATAAGGAGTAGGGTCGCCTGTCCAACCTCATAGGTTTCCTCCCACTGCTAAAAACCCCTAAACGCAAGCCATTTTATTGAAATAAAATTGAACCGAACCATATGTTAGTTCGGAATTGACATAGTTTGTGTCTAGAGGCCGTTACCCCCCCCCCCTCTCTCTCTCTCTCTGTTATGACCAGAAATCGAAATCTTTTGCGGTTTTTGCTTTCCGTTGCATGGCACCATTCCCGGCTAACGGCCAATGGTAAATCATTTGTGTCCACTATAGATCCGATAACGTTGAAACTTTGTACCACCATGATGGCCTTGGAATACAATTTTTAGCTTTTCTTATCTGAAACATAATAATTTAATCAGCCACTGTAAATTAAGTTTACTACAGCGATTTGTCTAGTAAGGAACGACCACCATGGCTTTTGTTGCCAGAATTACAATTTGTGTCTTGTTATTGTTTGCTCTATGCGGTCAAGGTTTTATGAAAGTTGTGGTTAATGTACACAAATTGAAGCTAGCGCAGCATATCGGACCAAAATATGTCGGTGTCACCATTGACTCTAGCGCAGTAAAAGAAAATTGGGGTACAATAGATTTCAAGTAAGTAATAAGATAAAGTAAGACGCTAAACCCCATTTCATTTAAGGGGGAGTGGATGGCCGCATGGTTAGCACTTGCGCGCTGTATCATAAGGGTGTCATTGAGCAAACTGGCGTGGTTTCGATTCCCCGGTTGTACGTGACAAGGCGTAGGGTGGCCTGTCCAACTTCGTGGGTTTTCTCCGGGTCCTCCGGTTTCCCACCACTGCTAAAGACCCCTACGCGCAAACTAATTATTGAAATAAAATTGAACCATAGTTAGTCCCTAAATGATATAGTTTATGTCGAGTGGACGTTAAACCCAATTTCTCTCTCTCTCTTTCTCCGTTATGACCAGAAATTGTTTGCGGGTTTTGCTTTTCCGTTGCATGGCTCACAACCTGCCCGCGCCCCGAAGCACCGTTGTGTCCACAATAGATCCGATAAAGTTCAAACTTTGTACCACCATGATGACCTTGAAATACAATTTTTAGCTTTTCTTATCTGAAAGATAATACTTTAATCAGGGACTGTATATTAAGTTTACTACAGCGATTTCTCTAGTAAGGAACGACCACCATGGCGTTTGGTGCCAGAATTACAATTTGGGTCTTATTATTGTTTGCTTTATGCGGTCAGTGTTTTATGAGAGTGGCGATTAATGTACACAAATTGAAGGTAGCGCAGCATATCGGACCAAAATATGTCGGTGTCACCATTGACTCTGGCGCAATAAGAAAACAATGGGGTAACATAGATTTCAAGTAAGTAATAAGATCCAACTATAGATAAAATAGGACGTTAAACCCCATTTCATTTCATTTCAGTCGGTTCAAGACATCGGTTAGTTTCCACTATAATGACAAGGACAGCTGTCTAGTCGTTCGGATGGGACGAACAAACGAGGCCCCTTGTAACATTGGTCTGCACGTTAAAGATCATTTGGCAATTGGAATTCGATGTAAGAGTAGGCTATAGTCCCGTTGCCCGGGCACAATTTCCCTCATAGCATACTGTATGACGTATGCCCGTCTTTATTAGCCCAGTATAGGAGTCGAACAGTAGGACGTTAAACCCCATTTCATTTCATTTACAATCTGATTAAAATACAGATCTATATTTCGTTTCTTTTTTTTAATACTTTCATTAGCCCAGTCGGAGCAGAGCAGTAGGACAATAAACCCCATTTTATTTCATTTTATTTCCACTATAGATCCGATAACAACCAAACCTTGTACCACCTATTTACAAATAAGACACTAGACAGTTGTATTAAAACAACCTTGGTATATAAAATATCTAGCTTTTCTTATCAGACAGATAAAACTTTATCAGCCACTGTAAATTCAGTTTACTACAGCGATTTCTCCAGTCAAAGAAGACTACTATGGCTTTTGTTGCTAAAATTACAATTTGTGTCTTATTATTGTTTGCTTTATGCGGTCAATGTTTTATGAGAGTGGCGATTAATGTACACAAATTGAAGGTAGCACAGCATATCGGGTCAAAATATGTCGGTGTCACCATTGACTCTAGCACAGTAAGAAAACAATGGGGTAACATAGATTTCAAGTAAGTAGGCTCATTATTTATTTGGTAAACATACAAATTGAAGGTACACAAATTGAAGGTAGCACAGCATATCGGGTCAAAATATGTCGGTGTCACCATTGACTCTAGCACAGTAAGAAAACAATGGGGTAACATAGATTTCAAGTAAGTAGGCTCATTATTTATTTGGTAAACATACAGCCTAAAAAAATTGCCTATAGACGGAAATTCACAGCTTCTCAAAGCACACTTTGCGTCATCCTAGGCCTACGCCGAGAGAGAGAGACAGAGAGAGAGAGAGAGAGAGGGGGGGGGGTTCAACATTTCTTCAGTAGATTACTACTTTCATTTGATTTTCAGATCTCCAAAATTTCTGACGCTGGCAAAAGGATTGGCGCCAAATTTTCTGCGAGTTGGTGGAACCGACTGTGATTTTTTGATATTTAACAAGACGACCACCAGAATGAAAGGAATTAGAGATAACCCCAAAACACACACAAATTTCACTATGACCGGTAATTTGCTTTAATCTTTACTAAGCGAGAGAGAGAGAGAGAGAGAGAGAGAGAGAGAGAGAGAGATGGGGTTTAACGTCCACTCGACACAAACTAGGTGATTTCGGGACTAACATATGGTTTAATTTTATTTCAATAATTCGCTTGCGCGTAGGGGTCTTTAGCAGTGGGAGGAAACCGGAGGACCCGGAGAAAACCCTCGAGGTTGGACAGGCAACCCTACTCCTTGTCACGTACAACCGGGGATTCGAAACTACGCCAGTTGACTCAATGACAGGCTTTATGATACATCGCGCACGTGCTAACCATTCGGCCATCCATCCCCCCCCCCTTTTCACTAAGCGAACAAAATGAAATGAAATGAGGTTTAATGTCCTACTGTTCTGTCCCGATGGCCGACAAGAAGACTGGCATACGCCATATTGTGTGCTATAAGGGAGGTTTTGAATGGACAGGGGCGCCACGGCCTACTCTTATATCGAATTCCAACTGCACGCCATTGTGTACACGGGACCTCGGTATTTCGTCCCAATTGACTATACGTTGTCCCTTACCAGGGGCCCTTCGTCCTGCACCACTGACAAGTGGGAACCACACCGAAAATCCCGATGAACTTTCTCTGTCAACCCATAGCAAAATGTTCGTTATTCCTGCTGAATTGATTCTGGTGTCAGCTGCTGAAATGTTAAAATAGCTAAGAGTCTCAATTTGCTACTTTTATCCCGGTGTCCTTTGGCTTCGCGGAACCAAAGAAAAGGAAATGCTTTACAATCGATGGACCTCCAGCCAGGCCCATCTTCTCTCTCGAAATAGCTCACAATGGTCATTTAGAGGGTCAAAATTTTCGAGGGGGAGGACCGTAAACCCCGTCCCACCCCTCCTATCTTTCCCTCGCGTTTGCAAAACCTTAAATATGGCCTGCCACGATCAAATCCGATTCTTCTGTACACAGTTTTTAACACATTTTGAACATGCTCTAGAATTTTATTTTTTGCATTGCAGTTACTCAATGGGACCAATTAAACAGTTTTGTGTCAGAAGTAGGCTGGGATTTAATATTTGACCTGAATGTTTTTCTGCGTAAAGATGGACATTGGGATCCAACTAACGCCATAGAACTGTTAAAATATACGATAGAAAAGGGTTATAAACCTACTGCATATGAACTTGGAAACGGTAAAGCTTTACTCCTATCTTGACATCCTTCATGTAATAAATTTTGAAATGAAATGGGGTTTAACGCCCGACTTTTCTGTACGGACTGGGGTCTGTTTCCCGAAATTTTACCTAAGATAAAATCCAAATTTTAGTAATTTGATTGGATAATATTAGATCGATTTTAGTGCTTAGCCAATCAAAATTGAAGTATCTACTTAAATTTGGATTTTATCTTTAGTTAAGATGTCGAGAAACATTGCCCAGAGTTAATGGAGACGGGAGAATTGAAATGAGGTTTAACGTCCTACTTTTCCACACGGACTGGGCTAATGGAGACGGGGAAATGAAATGGGGTTTAACGTAATGATTTTCTGTACCGACTGGGCTAATGAAGTCGGGGGAATGATGGGGTCAGGGTGTCTTTAACCTGCTGCCAATGGCATGCACCGTACCTAGATTTTCCATCCCACACGAACGACTAGATGCATTGTCCTTGTCAGTCTGGAAAACCCAAACGAACATTCTCGGACAACACGTGATACATCTCTTCCTGTGTTTAAGGAAATGAAATGGGGTAGTGTCAAAACTATAAACTAGATAGAGAACCATTTTTTGATTTAGTCTATAAGACGAGGGTGATCCTGTGTGCATGTATATACCCACTCAATTTGACTCTTAAATCACGTTAGGGAGTAAAAAACAAACCCCAAAAAAACAAACAAAACTGAGGCGGACACTCTGAATCATGGTATGGAAGAGCGAACTTCAAGATGGCGTCCAAGATGCAGATGACCACCTCTACATATATCTGACCATTGTGCCATTGGTTTTTTTATGTTAGGGGGGGATCACGTGGCTAAGTGGGTAAGACGCTAGCTCGCTAGCCTGGAGGTCGGGTGTTCGATCCCTGCATTGGCCGAGAAAGTTCATCCAGATTTTCCGGCGTGGTTCTCCCTTGTCAGTGATGCAGGACGGAGGGGCTGACAAGGAAAGCTGTCTAGTCGTTCGGATGGGACGAAAAACCGAGGTCCCGTGTACACATTGGCGTGCACGTAAAAGATCCCTTGGCAGTTGGAATTCGATATAAGAGTAGGCCGTAGTGCCGCTGTCCGGGCAAAATTTCCCTCATAGCACACTGTATGGCGTATGCCCGTCTTCATTAGCCCAGGTTAGGAGCAGAACAGTAGGACGTTAAACCCCATTTCATTTCATTTCATTTCATTTATGTTAGGGGAACTCTTGGTGTCTGTACCTAGGTTTTAGGCGTCAAGCAATCGATTAAACCCACTCATTAGATCGTGAAAACTGAATATTTGTAATTCATAGTATCGATCATTCTAAACATCATTCATTTTCAGAACTGGATGTTTTCCGTGACTTTAATGTTACTGCAAAAGAAGTGGCTCCAGATTTTGCACAATTGAAGACGCTTCTTTCGTCGATGCCTGAACTTGGACCTTTCTTTATTCTGGGAACTGATGCAGGCACAGTAGAGAATAGATCTGTAATTTTTATGAACGAGTATGTAGAAGGTCTGATTACTATCAATCTGATTAAAACACAGATCCTATTTCGTTTCGTTTTTTATAGTTTCGGTTGTTTTTTTTTTTGGTTTGTACTACACTAGGATCTGGAAGAGTTGTTATATAACACGCGTTCTGGAGAGCGCGAGGGGTTAGCCAATGAAACCATTTGTTGCGGCGATTCTTGGCGTGCGATGCACGGAACTGTGGCTAAACTACTAGAAACGTCAACGCTGAATGATTAATCAATGTCTGACGTCATAGGCTTAAAAGCCGCTCGTTTGACCACTGACGTAACCTTCCAGTACAACCGGCCCGATCTCCATGTAGTGTAGGCCATCGAAAGTAAAAAAAACCAAACAAAACGAAACGAAATATAGATCTGTATTTTAATCAGTTTGTAAGTATAATTATATGCGATTTGATCCATTCAACAATAAACAACACTGTATGCCGATTTCCTTTCACACTGAAGCATCTGTACAAGGTCTAGTAATTAAACGATTACTTAACTTTAAGTATCCATCCCCTCTTGTGGTTTAATCAAACTATTTCACAAACAGGCAATCTTAATAGCCTCATCATTGCCCTTTATTTTCATGAAATTCCCACCCCCTGTCTCTTGTAGAATAGCCCCGTCTTCATTGGCCCAGTCGGAGCAGAACAGTGGGACGTTAAACCCCATTTCATTTCATTTTTATAGAATAGCCTGGATGGCCATGTGGATCAGTGGGAATGATTAGATTAACAAGAGCACATGTTAAGTTCACCCCATCTTTAATCAGTCATAATCTCTATCTAAGGGCAGGCAACTCTAGCCAGTCTTACAAGGTATATCAAGGGCAGTAACTCCTTTAGAATTAGTGTATTTCAGACCTCTATTATGTTACTAGTGGGGAAATATTCCTAACTAAATTGTTACTAAATAACACTGTATAAATGTCCCATAATTGTATATCATTGGCTTAATACGACTACAGAATGGAACCAGAAATATCGCGCATGCGTCGTGTGTATATCAAGTATATGACATTCAAATAGTTTATCAGGGAGTAATCATTTAATTGGATCATACTAGCATGTCCCTAAAATAAGCCACTGGGATTTTTTCCAGAAACAACCAAGCTACACGATCAATAGAGCTCTATCAAATATTATAAGCCCATGGTCTCATTTTTGCACAAATGGAATCATAACTGACTCCAGGCAAAATAATGTAATTTGGTTGTCGACCAGAAATGGAGAAAATTGGGCTCATGGAGCTTGTGTAATGTTAGCTTAAAAAGAAAAGTTACACCAATATTATCGGGGGGGGGGGGGGGATTATTCGGCGGGAATCGAAATTTTTGAATTACAACGGAATGATATTTTAAAGATTTTCTATATTTTTTTCTAAAAGGTTTTTTGAGGCTGGAGGAGGCGCGTCTATTGATGTAGCCACGTTTCACCAGTGAGTATATTGATTATTTCTCACTTCTAGATTTTGAAACCTAAAGGTCGCAAAACGTATTAGCTAATTAATAATTTGAATTAAAAAATTGAAAAAGAAATGGCTTTTAAATTTGATACATTATTTGGGGATTCGTGGTGGCGTAATTCATCCATATCAGGGGCGGATCCAGGAATTTTTGCAGGGGGGGGGGGGTATGTCCCTGAGACAATATATCTCCCCACCCCCTCCCGCATGGTCTCTATCGTCATTTTGGCGTATATACATACACATTGAGCTTTTTAAACAGAGAAATTCAACACCTCGTTTGACGTCAAGTTTTATTATGAATTAATACAATGACATTGTGATTCAATTTCATGGATGCAAAGCATTAATTGTGATATCACATAATGTCTATATCATTATCACGTGCTTTGAGTGTCCATCCTGACCCAAATCTGACGATAAAGGATAAAGCACACGGCCGAGAAACCTTTCTCATAAAAAGTGTTGATTTTTTCGACCCCCCCCCCCGGATCCGCCCCTGCATATATATTCAGCGTTTTCATTTCTAGGATTAGTGAGGTTTGAAAGCTGGAATAATTCAAAAAGTATTGTACCTATATCATTAAAAAAACATTGTGGCAGTATTGTACCTATGCTATTCAAAAAAAGTAGGGGATATTTGATTTTTAAGTGTTATTAAAGTCACCTAATGAAACTGACGAAGAAACAAATGACAAAATGAAATGAAGTTCACATTCATCGATTTATTCCAAATGATCGTTAGACTAAGTAAGGCACAGACTGACCATTATAAGGGTAAAATGATACCCGGGGTCAAACAGCAAAGTTACCACAGCATCACAACCAAGTCAGTAACGGGTAAATCCTCCTCTGTTTGCCAAACAAGCATTGATCCGACGTGGCATACTCCTAATGAGACGTCTAAGGTCATTTTGGTCCAGATTGTCCCATTCCTGTTGCAACGCAGCAGCAAGTTCTTGGACATTGGCAGGACGTTGTTGACGTTGACGTAACCTCTGTCCAAGCATGTCCCAGACATGCTCGATGGGGGAGAGGTCGGGACTCAGTGCTGGCCAAGGTAATGTGGTGATGTTCAGTTGTTGGAGGTAACCTGTAACGATCCTGGCCCTGTGACATCTTGCGTTGTCATCCTGGAAGATGAAACGGCGGCCATGACGTCGTGCGAACGGCACAACATGGACTGCCAAGATGTTGTCCCGGTAGTACTGGCCTGTAACACGCCCTGCAACAACATGTAAAGCCGTTCTTCCAGCAACAGTGATGCCTCCCTACACCATAACAGAACCACCCCCAAATCGATCATGTCTGATGACGTTAACGTCTTGGAAGCGCTCGTTTCGACGACGCCACACCCTCCTACGTCTGTCCAAAAAATCAACAGTGAACCTTGACTCATCTGAAAACATCACATTGCTCCAGCGTCGATTATCCCAGTGTTGACGATCCCTACACCAACGACGTCTTGCCTGAATGTGATGATCTCTCAAACAAGGGATCACGCGAGGACGTCGGGCGCGAAGGTGACCCCTATGCAGTCGATTCCGAATCGTCTGGCCACTCACTCTCACACCAGTGTCTGTTTGAAGACGAGCGCTGATCTGATTTGCTGTGATGACACGATTTCTCAAGGCCAAGGTACGGATAAATCGATCCTGGGCTTGAGTTGTCGCCCTTGGTCGACCTGAGCGTGGTCTGTCCTGTACAGATTGTGTATCACGGTATCTGGACCATAGCCTGCTTATGACAGACTGAGAAACATTCATCGTCCGCGCCACAACCGCCTGTGTTGTGCCGATCTGTAGCATGCCAAGGGCACGTAACCTTTCATTTTGGGTAAGCCGACGCATATCAAAATTTGTTTTCTGGTCACTAAAACAATTAAACTGATGTTTCCACCCTGGAATTCAATGCCACAATGACTGTAACATTCAAAGTCAGAGTCGTGCAAATCTTGGGTTGGACCCCCATGATGATCCCAAGCATCACCTGCATTCGATGCGGTAGCTATTGGTGCGTTTGGGCGTCACATGTAACTGGAAATGTTTCTTCTGTTAGGTTCTATAGTGACTTTTTTCGTAGTCATTTGCATATTTTAGTATTATGTCCCCAAAATCAAATATCCCCTACTTTTTTTGAATAGTATATATCATTAAAGATACATTATGGCAGTTCTCACTATAATAGTTAAAAACTAGATAATGCTAATGGAATATGCTGAAAATTCCGGTCAAATTGCTTCTCTCTAAGCCGAGAAAACATTATTTTGAAATTTTTGTAGTCTCGACTGTCATTGTTATCCACTTTTGCGTTTAATCATCAACGGACGTAGAACAGAAGATCGTATTCAAATCCACTGCATCGGACGCATAAGATGGCATTGAGAGTTTATTAAGGTCTTTTCATGTTAATAAATGTCTAATTAATAGTTTATATAACATTTCAGGCCTGAAGAAAGACCTTCAATAGGCAGGTTTAGCTCTTACATAATGAATGTTTAATATTTCACGTACCGTACAATGAAATGAATGTTTAAAAACTTCACTCCAAATTGCAGGTGCACTGCTCAAATAGTGGTATAAGAATGAACTAAAGTACGTGACAATATCTGCACAGTCACACCACCACATACAGCGTCAAATTTATTTCAATAATTCGGGGTCTTTAGCGGTAGGATGAAACCGGGGGATCAAGAGAAACTCCACGAGGTAGGACAGGCGAACCTTCTACTTAACACGTATGCGTGGCGAATCGAAACCACACCATTCGACTCATTAACGGACCTTATGGTTTCACATACACGCGTTAAACCGCTAGAGCCCCCTCCCCCATTGTGAGAATGCCTTGTGGAAATTGTAGTCGTGATTAATTTGTGCATTTCATTTTTTTCTTCTTCAGTTATTATATGAGTAGTGCAAGCGCCACGGTAGAGAAATTTCACAGTGTGACGGTGCTTGAATCATTACGACCAATGTTGATAAATGTTATTAATCTATGTAAAAGATTTATACCTACAAAACAAGTCTGGTTGGGTGAAACGTCATCATCTTATGGTGGGGGTGCTCATGAAATATCAGATAGATATGTAGCTAGTTTTCTGTAAGTATATCAAGATACTAATTGATACAGTGGAGAAAATAATAAGCATCAGTAGTTTGTAAGAATTGGGGGACAGAGTTATCTCCCCGTAGTAAACTGGACCCATAAGTATATTAAAGGAGGAGTGCCAGATATATTGTAATCGAAATGAGATGGGGATCAACTTCCCACTTTTTTGCCCCCAACTTGGGTAATGCAGACGGGTGGGCGGGTAGGGTTTTTTTTTGGGGGGGGGGGAGCGTGCTATGAGGGACATTTTGCACAGAAAATAACATAGAATTCAACTGTCAAGAGTCCTTTTACAAGCACGCCAGCTTTCCCGACCAGATCCTATGCCCTGCGCCACTGACAACGGAAAATCCCGAGAAACGTCCTCTTCCAACACTGGGATCAAACCCCGGTCATACTGGTTATTAATCCAGCGCCATATTCATCATTGAGCCTCCGTGGCTACCAACATTCATTTTAGTGAATGCGGCTGCGTTAAACTTTGGCCTTTGTCATGTGATCTAAAGCTCTGTGATAAATAGAAAAAAAAATTCTATTTCCATGTTTGATTGTTCATATGTGCCCAAATTCGACTGCATGTAAGTCATTAGATAATCATGTCTATATTCTTACCGAAGTGGGTATCAAACCCCTCTTACCGACGCGAATATCAAGCCACACTTAACAGTTGAAGAGCGGAACCCCGTTAAGTAGATCTAGCGTTCTATTCCGAACACCTCAATATTTCGAATTGACATGTTGATACCAAACACGCAAATGAAACCCAAACAATTTACAATATAACGGCTTCATTCCTATTTAGAAAAGTTTGCCTGTACATTTCCTAATTTGAATTACTTTAAGGTGGTTAGATAAACTCGGCCTCTCATCAGTATTGGGAATCCAAGGTGTACTACGTCAGACTTTTTATGGTGGAAATTACGGGTTAATAAATTCGAATCTCGATCCAAATCCAGTAAGTCTTATGCTTCTTTCCATTTTATAGGTCCATGTCCGCCCAACTATGTATATTTCAATGGCCATTATATTAACGTGTACACATAACTTATTTTTATCAGCCGTGAGGCGGAACATTATAATTCAACAACCAAGTGGCTAGTCTCTATCATTCAAATATTCTATGACTAGCTGCTTCTTGATGTCCGAGATTCCAAAGTGGCCCATCCAACCTGTGTTCACCCAAAAAGCGAAGTTTCGTTCGTCATGCAATTTAAGTCCATCTCCAGATGATGCATAAACTAAATATGCTTTATTTGTAGTACATTGTATATGTATTATATGATCTTGTGTGATGCATTTTAATTAATATGTTTTATTTGTAGTTTGAAATGAAATGAAATGGGGTTTAACGTCCTACTGTTCTGCTCCTAAACTGGGCTAATGAAGACGGGCATACGCCTCACAGTGTGCAATGAGGGAAATTTTTCCCGGACAGCGGCACTACGTCCTACTCTTATATCGAATTCCAACTGCCAAGGGATCTTTTACGTGCACGCCAAAAAGATCCCATGGCAGTTGGAATAGTTTATATGATCTTGAATGGTGCATTATCTAATTATGTTTTATTAAACAGGACTACTGGTTAACATTGTTATTTAAAAGACTGGTAGCAAGTCCTGTTTTCACAGTTCCACAACCTCCAAATCCAGATTTAAGAATATATGCCCATTGTACCAATACTAACAGGTAACTACTCATAGGACCCTGGATGGCCAAATGTTTTTTTTGTTGTGACACAAATTTGTTATCAAATACATTTTTATGAGGTGCCATTGCATTATCGAGGATTGGGTGGAGACGTTGTTCGAAGTAATGATAATACCAGGGGAGCTAAGCCCCGCCCCAAAGTGTGGGTTCCTTGAATAATCATTGATGAGAGTTATTAAACTAAAAACCTTAAATCTATTTTTCAGCTCAATGGGTTACACAAAAGGTAGTGTAACGCTATATTTGTTGAATCTAGGTAACATGACTTTACCTGTAGATGTTCCTGATATGGTGAACAAAACACATCATATCTATATGTTTTCACCTGGTGATGACAGTGGACTCACATCAAAGTAAGTCTTCTTTAACAATTTCTTGATTAAATTCAGGATAAAATGTGACAAGGTGTATAGATCACAGATTTATATGCTTTTCATAAAGGGGGGTTGGATGGCTGAATGGTTAGCGTGCGCGCGCTGTATCATAAAGTCTGTCATTGAGTCGACTGGCGTGGTTTCGAATCCCCGGTTGTACGTGGCAAGGAGTAGGGTCGCCTGTCCAACCTCGTGGGTTTTCTACGGATCCTCCCACTGCTAAAGACCCCTACGCGCAAGCGAATTATGTAAATAAAATTAAACCATATGTTAGTCCCGAAATGACCTAGTTTGTGTCGAGTGGACGTTAAACCCCATTTCTCTCTTTCTCTCTCGCGTTTCATAAACTAGTAGCAGTTTTTCAAAAGTTTTAAAGCAATCCGCCACGACCCCGACTTCGCAGTTGTCATTCTAGAACAGTTTTAAATCTTTTTTAGCCCGTTACACATGTACCCCTCCGCAGACAAAATTATGAGATATGAATTAAATCTTATTGTTTCAGATCAATAAAACTGAATGGAGTTGTTCTAGCTTTGGCAAATGAGAATGAGTTACCTCCCCTAGAACCTGTGATCGGTCAAGACAACATTCAAGTGGATGCCTATAACATGGGATATATTGTTTTTCCTGGTGCTATGAGACCAGAATGTGTCTAACGAATTATATAGACTCCAGCATAAAATGGTGAATTATATCGACTCCAGCATAAAATGGTGAATTATGTAGGCTCCAGCATAAAATGGTAGCAGCAGTTTTAGAGAAAAGCGTGTTGTAAAATCTGTTCTCATAGCTCAACATCATTTTGGAATTAAAGGAGATAACCCTCATTGATTTACGTTGGGGGTTTGGATGATCTTGTGGTCTTGAGTGTCGCTCTAGATGGTCGGTCTCTGGCTTCCGGTCATTGTTTCAATCTCTAGTGTAAGCGTATAGGGGCGTCTTCTCAACATCGTGGGTTTACCCCGGGTACTCCGGTTTCCTTCCCCTCTCACAGAAAAGACCCCTGTGCGTGCGCTAAATCTATAATAAAAATAAGACAAATTGTCTGCGATATCAGCTACGGTGGAAGCTGCCGTTAAACACCAAGAACTACAGCAACCATTCTTACCACTGATACAAAGGTCTGTAGGGGTGGCCTTGTGGTCTAAAGTGTCGATCTCTAGCTGGCCGGTCACCTCTGGCTTGCTGTCGTGGTTTCGATCCCTGGTGTGAGCGTATCACTCGGCAAACCTCGACAGATTCTACGCATCTAATCTCGGCTGTATGACGAATTCCGCCATTTTGGAACTATTTTAAAGGTCCCGGATGAAAAATGGCTGCGCCCATGGAGATTTCTGTGGAGAGTGTATTATATCAACAAATGTCAAGTTTGGCATTGGGTTTGGGGAATTACCAGGGAATTATATCAAACCAGCAGCCTTGAGACAATATCTCTGCTCGTTTAGTTATATACACTCGACAAAAGACGCCATTTTGGGACTTTTTTTGTAAAAGCAGCACGTTTTTCTGTTAAAGTAAACCGGTAGCCGCATCGCAAATGTATGGGCGTAGGTACATATCAATTACTATCATACAGCCGAGGTTAGATGTAGGGTAACGGAATCTGCCGAGGTTTGCCGAGTGGTGAGCGTATGTGGCTTGGAGATAGGGTGCGCCTTCTCAACCTTATGGCTTTACTCCAGGTAATTCATTTTCTTCCCACATGTTAAATAAATGAAATGGGGGTTAACGTCCTACTGTTCTGACTATAATGTTAAAGAAGGCAGTGACACCTCTTGCAACTAACTGATACATAATATGGAAATACGACTTTTATTTAAATTCTCTAATCTGTTTTGGTATTTGGCCGAGAAAGTTCATCCAGATTTTCCGGCGTGGTTCTTCCTTGTCAGTGATGCAGGACGGAGGGCCTGACAAGGACAGCTACCTAGTCCTTCGGATGAGACGAAAAACCGAGGTCCCGTGTACAAATTGGAATGCACGTAAAAGATCCCTTGGCAGTTGGAATTTGATAAAAGAGTAGGCGATAGTGCCGCTGTCCGGGCAAAATTTCCCTCATAGCACACTATATGGCGTATGCCCGTCTTCATTAGCCCAGCATAGGAGCAGAACAGTAGGACGTTAAACCCCATTTCATTTCATTTCATTTCTGTTTTGGTATAAAGAAAGCTATGGAGAGAAGCGGTTTCTCAGATATCAGACATTATTCAGAGAGACATAGAGCCAATGATCGACGCCTCGTGATATGACGTTACCTGTAGAAAGCAGTTATACACCGGTGAACACATCGGTGAAGCATATTGGGGGTGGGGTTACCTCGCAGTTAATGTTAAGAAATACATCTAAGTTCATTACTAAGAAACCTCCTTTGCCCTCCAACCGTATTTTCTAGACGACCATTGTAAGCATGTTATAACAGGTAATAATTCGACTGTAGCAGAGAGGTGTTTATACAAGCACTACAACCAAATGAAATGAAATGAAATGGGGTTTAACGTCCTACTGTTCTGCTCCTAATCTGGGCTAATGAAGACGGGCATACGCCATACACAAGAAATATTCAACACAATAGAGCTGTCATTTCTTTACTAACACAGTTTCCAAGATAACGTATTATAAGACCCATCTTTCATAACGTAAAACAAAACCAGCTCGATTTATTTATCATCGTTTTATGAGCTTACCATGCACCCCACCCCCTTCACAAAGGGGGGGGGGACGAAGCATTTGTTTTAAGGGCCAGATGGTCCCCAGTCGGTTCAAAGATACCCTTTATTTTCCACTACAGAGCCGATTACAACCCTGTACCATCTATTGACAAATAGATATCACCGGTAAGCTGATACCGTTGACTATTGAACCAATAACAACTTTTGTCATTAAACCATTAAAGTGGTCAGTATTCTAACCTAATGTTTAGTATGTATAGAAAGTGGTCAGAAAATATACAGTTAGCGGGTGTGTAACTAGCTGTAAAAGATGTCACTACTGGTGTAAATGCCTGACTATTTATTACACTTATCACTATTGAATGCACAAACCCGGACAATAGTGGTATATATCATTCAATAGTCACAGCTTGAACACCTTAGTGACAAAACACCTACTTAATGACTACTGTCTGATCAGTAACAATTTTGACTAACTAACACACATTGTGTAAAAGCGTGACTATTTATAACACCAATCACGATTAAATGCACAAACCTGGACATGCACAATAGTGGTGTATTTCATTAATAGGGGTTTTCCGGCATGGCCCCAAGGGATGTAGGACGGAGGGCCTGGCAAGGGACAACGCATAGTGGTTCGGATGAAACGGAAACCGAGGTCACGTGTACACACTGGCGGGCACGTAAAAGAAACATTGACAGAATTCGAAACACGTGTAAGTCATTCAATCTGATTAAAATACAGATCTATATTTCGTTTCGTCTTTTTATACTTTCGATGGCCTGTACTACATGAAGATCTAACCAGTTGTAGATCGCGTCATACGAGCGAATTTTGACCCCATGACGTGAGACATTTGATTAATAAATCAGCGGTGATGTTACTAGTAGGATACCAACAGTTGCGTGCATGGCAGCCAAGAACTCACTGCAACAGACCGTTTGTTTTATTGGCTAATCCCTCACATCAACTAGAACGCAGTTTATATAACAACTCTTCCAGATCCTAGTGTAGTCAAGACAGCAAAACGAAATTTTGAACTATAAAAAACGAAACGAAATAGGGTCTGTGTATTAAACAGATTGTAGGTCAGAGCGCCGTTGTCCGGGCAAAATTACCCCCAAAGCACACTACATTTCGTATGCCCACCTTCATTAGCCCAGTAGGGACAGAACAGTAGTACAGACCTGGTATCCTTTACTTAGGGTTTTTTAGGCTGAGAAAATATACATATAGTTTACTTTCAAATATCGTTTGATAATTGACAAAAATCGTTTAAAAAAAAAAAGAAAAAAAGTTTAGTTAGTACTAAGGCTTAATTTAATGATGACCGTTTAGTTGACCGTGTAATTTCTCCGAGAGGCGTTTATAAATCAGCGACCCGTTCATTTATCTACAGTGTTTAACTATTAGACGAGTCGTTTAATTTCCCCGAGATGGTGTATAAATCAACACCCCGTTTAAAAAAAAAAAGAAAAAAAGTTTAGTTAGTACTAAGGCTTAATTTAATGATGACCGTTTAGTTGACCGTGTAATTTCTCCGAGAGGCGTTTATAAATCAGCGACCCGTTCATTTATCTACAGTGTTTAACTATTAGACGAGTCGTTTAATTTCCCCGAGATGGTGTATAAATCAACACCCCGTTTATTTATCTACAATGTTTAACTATTACATGAACCGTTTATTAACCCGATATGCGTGTATAGATCAACATCCCGTTTATTTATCTACGGTTTTTAACTATTAGATACATCGTTTAATAACCCGATATGCGTGTATAGATCAGCATCCCGTTTATTTATCTACAGTCAGTGTTTAACTATTAGATGAACCGTTTAATATCCCGATATGCGTGTATAGATCAACATCCCGTTTATTCATTAGATGAACCGTTTAATATCCCGAGATGCGTGTATAGATCAACATCCCGTTTATTGATCTACAGTGTTTAACTATTAGATGAACCGTTTAATATCCCAATATGCTTGTATAGATCAACATCCCGTTTATTTATCTACGGTGTTTAAAGCGAAATTTCATATTTTCTAAGAAATTCAAAACATAATTATTTGTATGTCTTTTACTAAATAGGTTGTCAACTCACTATTATACGATCATAGCATCATTATAACACTTAAAAATCATTCAAATAAAAATTTGAAATATTTTCTTCTCGCCCTGAGGTGTTTGGAAATAATATCATTTCATTTCACTGGAAAACGACGTCTACATAAGGAAGTAGGGAAATCCGACCATTGCGCATGCGTGTATTACTGTAAACAATGGATTCTTCGGTTTTACTTATTGACGTGCTGGTTTTCACCACAAAGGTGTTGTAAAAGGTAAGTTTGAAGTACTGATCATAATTTTTACTATACAAATTATAAGAAGTCCGTGTGATTAACGAACAATAAATACCGGATTGTTAGGCTCAAATATGATGATGATGTTTACTTGTTATTGCTACTCGCAGTGCACTCGTCTCGTGTGTTTCATCTGAAATCGGACCTTTTAAAGCTTGGAGAAACAAATCAATCAACACCTAATTAGTGTGTTGTCATGTTTGGTACTTTTTGTGAATTCAGATGAAAGGAAATCACTCATTACTGTAATCATAATAAGCTGTCTTCAAATTAATCATTAATCATAACATGGCTTCATTTTCCAAATACTGTATATATATATTCCTGTCCAACATTTGGTATTTCATTGACTTTGCAATTATTGAAAATGATTGATGATAAGTGTGTTGTTTGTAAGAAGGTTATAGGTGATGATCAACAACCTGTTATGTGCGACACTTGTAGCAAATGGACTCACTACGGATTGCTGTGACATCCGACATGATTTTCATGTCCCGATTTATTTCCTTATTACTTCAGCCAAAAAATCGCTGGTAAATCCGAATTCTGTATGTTCCGGATTCCGACACCAATCAGCCGTCCCGTCACATAATTTCTATTGAATCGACACCGTATAATCCGTACTTAAAATGGTGGGTGTGAAGCATCCAATTATC